CTATCACAGTGCGGGCATGGGATCACCTTTTGGAGGAGCGTTATTGGTTCTGTTCTTTCTGTCCTGGGACCTTTGCATATGTGGCTCTTCCATGGAAATGAACGTAAAAGGGGTGAAATATACCCCTGTGCACAGTGGGACCGACAGCTACCATGGGCCCCAGAGCAAGGTGTGTGGGGGCCGACTCTGCCCTGGGGGCCTGGTGTGGAAGGGGCAGGGCAGGAGCAGCCAGCCTCTGAATTGCCTGTGTGGTGGTGCTACCCCCTCCACAGCTTTCAGAGCCCTGCGAAATGCCCGGCACGGCGCTCTACCACTCTGGCGTGTTTCAAAGGGGCCCGGGGTTTTGGTGGCAGCCGCAGTAGCAGGAGCAGTGGCTAGGAGCCCTGGGCCCCTTAGCATCGCCGGCTCCTGGGGCAGTTGCCCCCTTTCCCCCCCCATCAGTGAGCCAAGTGACCGCTGTGTCGGCAGACAGGCTATGGGGCTGGATGGACCTTTGGTCTGACCCAGCCTGGCTGTTCTGGTGTTCGTATGTTCTTAGATTCTTACCGCAGCGGCAGGAGCTGGAGCGACCCGTCTGCTCCCTCCTGCCACCCTGGCCCCGCCCGTGGTGCCCCACATCTCCAGGCGCCCCCTACCCCAAGGCACGAGAGGAGCATGCTACGAGTTGCTCTGGCTCCCGCCACCATGGTGAATGTGTGAGGAGGAGGGCGATCCCTGCTGCTGTCTGGCCCCTGGTAATCCCCTGGTTTACGTTGCGCGGGAGACCGGGGAAGGGGCGGAGCCAGTGTAGGAAGGGGTGTGGCAGAGGCTGGGTTTGGGGGAAGGGTGCAGAGGGGTGGAATGGGACAGGGTGGAGTGGGAACAGGGCAGGACCTGGGGGGAGGTTTCCCTAGGCCCCACACCCCCCAGCCCTGCAAATGGGTGTCAGGGCATGACCCCCCATCCTTCCAGTAGTGCAAACAGGGGGCGGATGACACTTTGGTGTTCAACTCAGACCAGTAGGTGGTGGTGTTGCTGCCTGCCCTGCAACTTCTGGGTCCCTTGAATGCCAGCCTGTGGCCATTCGCAGCCCGGATGACAACCCCCAGCCTGCCAGCATGCAGGTCTGACCCTGGCTTCCACTGCCAGTTACTGTGTGCAGTGACCCCTTCTCTGTCCTCTGCCTCTAACAATCTACGGAGTTTCCCTGGACTGAGTTACGGTGCTACGGCAGAGTTTGGCTCACATTCAGCCATGTGACACCAACTCGTCTGCCTTGCCAGCAAACGCGTCAGTGTTCTTCCAGCCCAGACCTTGCCTCGGGGGTCACGACCAACCCCAATCCCTGAGTCCCCCCAGAGACATCTCCCTGCAGTGCCCAGCCCTCTCCTGCAACACTGCCAGACGTTATTCAGTGTGTCGCTCCTGGAAAGAAACAAAACACTGCAGCTCGTAAGTGTAACTGAGTGTGGAGAAACCCCCTTATTGAAGCACAGTGGGACGATCCAGTGCTCTGTGATTCCGAGAGCTCTGGCCCCTTTAATCCCCCGAGTGACGGCTACCGAGTTCCTGACTCTCTCTGCTCCCATCTCCCAAAGTTCATGGACCCTGGAGGCAGACAGACTTCCAGCTGCCCTTCCCTTCCTGTGGACTTCCCATCTCCCTGCTGGTTCGGATGTAGATCTGGCCTCCATTGTTTTGATCCCCCCGGGGTTCATTTCCTCTGAAGGCAGGTAGATAGCTGCCTTCCCAGGGAGAAAAGCTCTGGTTGGAGCAGAACATCAGTGAGTCTCCCCAGTTCCTCCTGGAGTGGGAATCAAGACATTTCCACAGTGATATTAATCAAGAAGCACTGAGCTTAAACTGCAGCAAGGGAGGTTTAGTTGGACATTAGGAAAAACTTCCTGCCTGTCAGGGTGGTGAAACTCTGGAATAAGTTGCCCAGGGAGGTTGTGGAATCCCCATCTCTGGAGATATTTCAGAGCAGGTTGGACAGACACCTGTCAGGGATGGTCTAGATGGTGCTGGGTCCTGCCATGAGGGCAGGGGACTCTCGAGGTCCCTTCCAGTTCTAGTGTTCTATGACACTATGATTAATCACCAGCGAGTCACAAACTTTCCTTAAAGACCTTACTCCATGCACGTGTATAATACAATATAAGCAGCCGATTCAGTTCAAGCCACCTGTCTCTCCACCTATAGCCCAATAATTCTTTGGCGTGCGTTCATTGAAAAGTGCGGCAGGGCCAGCCTTTTCTCGCCCGCGGGAATGGAGCTGCTGAGCTCTCTTCCCAAGGGTCCTTCACCCCTCTTCCAGAGCCAGGGAGTCGCCCTGGGGTGCCTTTGCCCTCCCCCATTGCGATTGCTAAGTATTCATCTCTCCCCGCTGATTCTCTTGAAGGCTTTGCTGACCTTGCATATAAATGAGCTTTTCTTTGTCTTTGGTCACACCTGGCCGGGGGAGATACAAGGTGGAACCACGTTGGTTGTCGAGGACAGAGGTGGACAAGATACCTCTTGCGAGCTGGATCTGGCCCGCCAAGCTTTTTCATTCAATCCGCTCCTGCAGCACGGAACAGCGCTGCTCCAAGCAGCTGGCTGTTCCCTCCTCGCTGCCCCTACCCCCAGCAAAATCTCTTCGCTCCTATTGATCGGAAACTGGCCGATAGGAGCTGAGAGATTTTGCTGGGAGTGGAAGCAGCGTGTGAAGCTTCCCCCGCCCCCAGTGCAGAGAGCCACATGGAACAGCCAGCCGGGGGCTGCTTGACAGTGCCGCTGGCTGGGAGTTGCTTAGGTAAGCACCACCTGGCCAAAGCCTGCCTCTGGCACCCCATCCCCGTCTGCACCCAACTCCCTCCTAGACCCTGCCCCCCCCCACACTTCCCTCCCCAGGTCATAATCCTCTCCTGCACCCATACCCCCTTCTGGACCCTGCACCGCAATCCCTTGCCCCAGGCCACAACCCTCTCCTTCACCCAAATTCCCTCTCAGACCCCACACCTTCTCCTGCACCCCAGTCTCCTACCCTGAGCTCCCTTTTGCACCCAACCTCCATCCCTGACCCTATAAAGTACGGCCCTTGACCACTTACCAAAATCTTGGAGTGGCCCCCCATCAAAAATTATCCCCCATCCCTGGTCTAGGGGTACTAAGAACATAAGTTCAGCATATGTTTGTCGTTTTGCATACATTACCCGTGTGTACATGATAATATTAATGATCTGTGAGTTCTGAATCTTCCAGGGATGCATTTCGGGTCCCTTGTGCTTATGTAGCCTCATGGCAGTGTTAGATGCAGTGAGTATGTCAGGCCTGAAGAGTTGTTGACCCATAGTAGTGGGTCACCCACAGCACATGGTGTCACAGATGGGGATTCCAGCATGGGCGGTGGGTGAAGGTAGAGCTGGGGGAGGCAAGCCTCCAGCCCTGCCCCCAGCCCCGC